ATTATTTGCTGTGATTGTGTATATATTAATAAATTTGATTTTAGTTTTTTGAGTTCCAATAAAAAAAGTTTCCATTATTATTATATTATTAATATTAATAATAATAATAATAATAATAATAATAATAATATTATTATTATTATTATTATTATAAATAAGCCTCCTATTTGCACTTGTCAAATGATAATGAGTAATAGGGTTTTATCGTATACTTGATTATTTTTTATTAGTATTTTATCTGGATTTTTATTTGTATATATATTGAATATTGTATTATTCTGTATGTTTTATGATATTTGATTGAATAAAAGAAGTGTTCCCATTATTATTATTATTATTTTATATTTTGATCAGGTGATCACAACAACCTGCTACCCACCCGCTGTGCTTCATATTTTGTGGTTTGTCCATCTTGCAGGCCACTTTGATCTTCAGGTTCTTATCGGGGCAGTTCCTGGCTGGGGTCATGTCGCACCATTCGGGGTTCTTCAGGGTCGTCACAGTGGGGTTCAGTATCACCTGATCGTAATATTTATAATATACTATAAATGAATAATTATAATAATAAAAGCCGTAATTTGTCATAAATAATTATTATCACGAGAGTATGGAAAGTCATTGAGATGATGGTGAGAACGATTTTTTTAATGGTGATGGTTTTTTTTTTTTCAGTCATTTTTCTGATGGTGCTTTCGAATTAGCGCTATACAAATTCTTATAATAATGATAATAATAATAATAATAATAATAATAATAATAATAATGAGAACACCTTTTTATTTTCATCGTAAAAACATACATGAAATGAAAGAAACAATAATTGTCAATGATAATCAAAATTAAAATATATATGTATATAGTAAAATGTCTTGAATTTAATAATGAGAACTCTTTTATTTCTTCATAAACCAAAATATAAATAAAATTAATTACAATTAAATATAAAATGAAAAGATTAAAATAATGGATAATTTAACATCATTAACATCCTAATTTAACATAAACATAATTTAACATAATAATAATAATAATAATAAAATAACCCTTCCCAGTTCCTTATCATCGAGACTGAGCAGCCCCTGGGTTTCCATGCAGAGTTTGATCTTAACTGAGGGCAGGGGCTGGTTGGTCGTGAAGTCACCCTGCGTGTCCCAACTGTCGTTTTAATTTTAACGAATATCATTTTCACGGAAAGTAATATTTATCATTGTATAAATATTTAATAGTTATAATTTTCTTAATAGTATTTATTATTGTTGTTGTTATAATATTATTATTATTATTATATTATCATTATAGTTATTAAGTTTAGCGGATTACTGTGGTGTATGATTTTAGTTCCCTGTTAGTAGAAACCTTCGAAGTATGTGGGCAGTAGCGAGTGGGCCATCTTCTGCACTGGTGCAACACTTTCCTTTCCAGGCAGTTCATTGAGATGTTTCAGCAGCCCCTGGGAATGTACTGTTCCCAATGCACCAACTACTATTGGAATCACGCGTGTTTTTGTCTTCCACATACTCGAAATCTCGATCTCAAGGTCTTTATATTTGCTTAGTCGTTCAACTTCCTTTGTAGCAACATTCGTGTCACTGGGGACAGCAACGACGATAAGGAGCCATTTTTGTTACCTCTAACGTAGTATATGATATCCGGTCAGTCAGCCCCAATGCTAGTAGTAGTAGTAGTACTGGTCACCGAGTGAGCTCGCGTGTCATGTTATTACTCTCTGTCTGAAACCCAAGAAACTCTCCCAAGCTTGCGAGGTGTGTGATGCGGTGCTCGTGCGTGCGTACTTGATATGTACAGAAGTTGCATGGTAGTGTAGAAAGCACATCCTCTGTGGAACAAAAGCTTAATTAACGTGTATGCTGTAAGGAGTTCTGCGCTTGGCAGAGATGCCTTATAAAGAAAATAAACTAATACTACAAGTATTACTTCTACTACTTCTTTTATTACTTCTAACTTTGCTACTGCTACTACAACAACTACTACTACTACTAAAACATTTTTTAAATATCTTTTGTACTACAACTACTAATACTACTGCTGCTAATATACCTACTAGAGTAAAATTCATCTTGTAATGACGGTTAAAATTAGGCACAATTTGAAATATAAGAAAGATTAAAATATTGATATAAGTAATGAGCACCGCCTAGCAGAGACATCCAACAACATTCTTAAAATATCTAAAGCAGCAGCAACATTAGCGGGAATATTCCAAAAAAGAAGTATAACAATTAAGAGATAATACATAGTAGCAGGAAATATTTGTAGCAGTAGTAGTAGTAACGCTAGTAGCGGTTGATAGCATAAATTAGATAGCAATGATAGTCGTTCCAGCATAAGTAATGTTAGTTGCAACTGTAGTAGTAGCAACAGAAGCCGTTGTTGTTGTTGTAATATTAGTAGTTATAGAAGTAGCAGCTAGGAGTGGTTATAATATAGAATTAATAGTAGTAGTGGTCAAAGTAATAAAAATGGTAACGGTGGTTTTGGCGGTAGTAAGTTTTATTGTACTAGCAAAAATGTGAGATCTCGTGGCCGAGTGGGTTCGAATATATATAAAATATTACTAACGGAATAGTAGTGGTAGAAACTTTACTATAGTAGCAGCAAAAATAACAGCAGCAGCAATATTATTACTTTTAGTAGTAGTAGTAGTAGTAGTAGCAGTAGTAGTAGTAGTAGTAGTAGCAGTAGTAGTAGCAGTAGTAGTAGTAATGGTAATAGTAGTAGTAGTACTAACAGTAGTAGTAGTAGTAGCAGTAATAGTAGTAGCAGTAGTAGTAGTAGTAGTAGTAGTAGCAGTAGTAGTAGTAGTAGTAGCAGTAGTAGTAGTAGTAGTAGTAGCAGTAGTAGTAGTAGTGGTAGTAGTAGTAGTAGTAGTAGTAACAGTAATAGTAGTAGTAGCAGTAATAGTAGTAGCAGTAGTAGTAGTAGTAGTAGTAGCAGTAGTAGTAGTAGTAGTAGTAGTAGTAGTAGTAGTAGCAGTAGTAGTAGTAGTAGTAGCAGTAATAGTAGTAGCAGTAGTAGTAGTAGTAGTAGTAGTAGTAGTAG